GTGTAATCCTTTTGGAAAGCAATAGAGAGCAAAAGCCATAAATGTGTGCACAGCCTGTGACAAAAATTTAACTTTAGAAATACAATTCAATACAAGCAAAAAAGATGGGCTTCAATGTTAATAGTAGTATATTCCATTAGAACCCCAGTTTGGAAGCATTCACATTTTTAGACTAGTTTAAATGGTTCGTCCGCAGGGGGGAAAAAAGTTGTATAGCCAGTAAAAAATAGTATAATGTTAAGGCAGTGCCATTAAATGGCTACTACACTACTAGGCCCTCCTTGGTCCTTCACATGCCTTAGTCTTAGGTAACATCCACAATTGCTATAATCATAACAACCCTATGAGATAGTTATTTTCATCCACTTTATAAATAAGGAAAATCGGGTACCAAAAGGTTGATTTGTCCAGGGACATACCTTGACAGAACCAAGATTTAAATTAGAACCCAAACTCGAAATCACTCTACTACCTTAATATCTATGGGCATTCAACTATAACTATAGTGTAGGTGTAGAGACAGTGTGATATAGTGCAAAGAAATAGCAGCAGAACTGTATAATTAGTATGACATCATTTACGTAAACAAAAACTCAGGGGAGTGTATATGTGAAGATGTGCCTAATAGTCTAGAAGGCAATCTGTGGAGCTCTATGGAAATCACTCCAAACTGTTGAACAGTGTTTTATTTTGCAGAGAGGAATAAGACGGGAACAGAACAGGCTTTAACTTTTTGCCACATACACTTTTGTATGATTTGACTTTGCTTTTAATCATAAATTCCATGTTTCTTTTTTAATTAAAAAATTACTTTATGATAAACTCTAAAAATTGCTGAAAATCCTAGAAAGAAACAGAACACATATGGTATATAAAACTTGTTCCAGTATTGATAATGCCAAATAAGCAAGTTTTGGCAGAATAATGAAACCATATATTATGTATTCAATATGAAAACCAAATCAGGTTTAGAACTCTATTTTGAGGGGCTTCCCTAGTGGTCCAGTGGCTAATACTATGTATTCCTAATGCAGGGGCCTAGATTTGATCCCTGCTCGGGGAACTAGATCCCACATGCCACAACTAAGAATCCATGTACAGCAACTTAAGACCTGGTACAACCAAATATTTTTAAAAATAATATGTAAATATATTCTGTACAATGTCTATCTCCCCACTTTACATTACAAATCTCTACTGTACATTTAGGGTGCTATTTTAAATTTAATGGAAGTTATAAATAGAAACCATCCTAACATAAGCACTAGGGAATTCTTAGTTTGGCTTTTAAAGGCAAAAAATAAGGGTGGTTGAACTGCAAGAAAGAAATACTATAAGAAAAAAAATAATTTAAAGTATCTCAGTTTCAACTCCGTTATTTGTTGCTTCTATCCTTTTCTGGTAGATAGAATGACCCCCACCCCCTGAAGAATTGATACTTTTGAACTGTGGTGTTGGAGAAGACTCTTGAGAGTCCCTTGGACTACAAGGAGATCCAACCAGTCCATCCTAAAGGAGATCAGTCCTGGGTGTTCACTGGAAGGCCTGATGTTGAAGCTGAAACTCCAATACTTTGGCCACCTGATGCGAAGAGCTGACTCATTTGAAAAGATCCTGATGCTGGGAAAGATTGAGGGCAGAAGGAGAAGGGGACGACAGAGGATGAGATGGTTGGATGGCATCACCGACTCAATAGACATGGGTTTGGGTGGACTCCAGGAGTTGGTGATGGACAGGGAGGCCTGGAATGCTGCGGTTCATGGGGTCGCAGAGAGTCGGACATGACTGAGCGACTGAACTGAACTGAACCCCCCAAATATGTCCACTTCCTAACTCCCAGAACCTGTGATCATATTACCTTAATGGCAAAAGAGACTTCGCAAATGTAACTAAAGATCTTGACAGAGAGTTTGGAATATCTACATGGACCCAGTGTAATCACAAATGTCCTTTAAGAGTGGAGGAGATAAGCAGAAGAGTCTGAGAAATTGAAGATGTTATGCTGTTAGCTTTAAAAATGAAGAAAAGGGTCATGAGTCCAGGAATGCAGACAGCTTCTAGGAACTAGAAAGTCAGGGAAACGGATTCTCCTCAAGCCTCCAGAAAGGAACACAGCCGGCTGACACCTTGATCTTAGTCCAGGGACATGCTGTCTGTACCTCTGATCTCCAGGACCTTAGAATAATAAATTTGTATTGTTTTAAGCCACTAAATTTGTGATGATGTGTTACCGTAGCAGTAATACAATAAGAGAAATAGGAAACTACCTGCTCTGAAATTTTCAAATTTTTGACCTGGCATAATAAAAATAGTGCTTTCTCTTCAAAAAGTAATCTTTCACAGTGTGTAAATTTTAGCCCTTACTTACAGCAAATGAGCCTACTAGCTGAGGATTTTAAAAGTTAGGAATCCAAGATAAGGGAGAGGGTACTTCTCAAAGGGAAGTGAACTTAGAAAATTTTGGAAATTTGTGGCGGTCATTGCTGCCATTCAGACTGCCAGGCCTAGAAACAGAAAAATGAGACAGTGCATAAGGAAAAATTATGTTGAGTTCTGATGAAAGTTCAAACAGGCAATTAAGTGAAAAACCTGATAATTATTTAAGCCTGGAACCAACTCCTTTTTACTTATAAATACAAGTATTCAAAGTATCAGGGGATTTTGCACTCTTTTTAAAATACACCGACTATATCCAGAAGCACAACTACTATGTAAACCAGGGCAAGACTGTATTTTACTTTATTCGACTTAAGAGTTGTTGGCCTATTTTAGAAAATCACACCAATGAAGATATTAAGACACTCAAGATTTTAAGACACTAATACAGCCCACCGATATCTATTTGCAGCTATTGTCTACATATATATCAGTTGGGTTAGTTGTGCTTCAGAGAGGTTTTATTATAAATTTCTTCTGTTTTTCATATTATAGGTAGAGCATTCAATTGGGTTTTTAAATTATCTGAATTTTATTTCAATAGGATATAAGGACTAGAATGTATTATTATAAAAGGGGGATACTGGCTCCAGGAGGGCTGAAAATATTGATCTAAATATTATCTGAAATCCATCCATATTCCTCTCTGTATCTGCAGTATTTTGTTCTTTCAGTCAAACATTTTGTGGTGGGATGGGAAGCTCATATTTCCTAAAAGGTGTTTCGACTTCACTACCCAATTACTCTTGTCTTTTCACAATCTAACCTTTACCACCATCACACCATTGAAATTGTGGCTGTAAAAGTCACCAACCCCTATTAAAACCAATGGACACTTGAAGGAAGAAATCTGTTTTGCCTGAACTTTCTATAGGATTTGACATCATTACTCCCTTTTGCTTGAAACTTTGGAAGGGGTGGGCTCATACCCAAGTCATTTGTGTCATCAGCACATGTTGTCAGTGAGTGAGACCACGATGACCCAGTCACCAGAACAAGACAGTAACAACTGTTAACAGCTTGTAGTAGAAATGGAGGTCTTCAGAGGCTCCATGACTCGCCTTAGGTCAGAATGTGTTAGTCACAGAGCACAGACTGTCAGTTCAGATTTCCAATGTTTCGTGTGGTCATAAAGCTCTTGCCTAAAAACTGGAACACATAACCATTCAGTTTTTAGCTCATTAATTATATACCACAAATAAAGCAAGGTTTAACATAATGTTATGCTCTGAAAGTGAAAGTGAATTCACTCAGTCTTGTCCGCCTCTTTTGTGACCCCATCGACTGTAGCCTACCAGGCTCCGCTGTCCATGGCATTTTCCAGGCAAGAGTACTGGAGTGGGTTGCTATTTCCTTCTCCAGGAGATCTTCCCGACCCAGGGATCAAACTCGGGTCTCCTGAATTGCACTCTTTACTGTCTGCGCCACCAGAGAAGCCCTAGCTATGATTTATCCCATTTAAATGGCAACTGAGTTCTTGAGTTACATTGATGAATAAATAACAGTAATAGCAAACATTTTACGGCTTACTATATGTCTGTGAGTCACTCAGTCGTGCCCAACTCTTCAACCCAATGGACTATACAGTCCTTGGAATTCTCCAGGCCAGAATACTGAAGTGGGGTAGCCGTTTCCTTCTCCAGGGGATCTTCCCAACCCAGGGATCAAACCCAGGTCTCCCACATTGCTGGCAGATTCTTTACCAGCTGAGCCACCAGGGAAGCCCTTACTATATGTCAAGCACTGTTCTAATCATATGTGTCCACTGGTTTTATCCTCACAAAAATGCCAGGAGCAGATGTTATTATCCTCCTCCCAGAGATGAAACTGAAGCACAAGGGTCACATAGTAAAGAGTTGCCAGGGCTCAGATCTATAAGGCTATTCACTGACTACTAAATTAAACAGTCTAACAAAATGGACATTAAACATATACCTTAAAATTTAAAATATCAGCTGTGTTGTTAAGCTATACAAGTGTTATTTAATACTATTTTCTATATTTTCCTTCATTACCTCTAGCATTAAAAAACACAAAAACAAGTTCTCTATTAGAACATCTTTAACAAATGTGATTTGTTAAGTCATGTGATTTATTAATCATGTGATTCAGTAAGCATCACATGACAAAATTATGTAATATGTCTAAGGAAACTTTGCTTGCTCTTTTCTAATTGGATCCATTTCATTTGCACTGAAATCTGCATTAAGGGGAGAAATCATTGTCCCTATATGATATTCCACTGAAAGTTTTTTTTTAAAAAAATCTTTATTACACTAAGAATTCCTTTATAAAACTGAACTATATTTTCATGCATTTTAATAATTAGATATGATTCCAGGAAACTAAAGAATAGAAAATTAGTTTTAAAAGTTAATATGGAGAAGTTGAGGGGAAATCAGTATGTATTATAGTTTTATTACTGATATAAAACTTTCAAATACTGTACAGTGAGGTGTGTTGTAGAACTCTATATAGATATGATACACTATTACCAATTATTACTCACATGTAATATATACAGCAATCACAAAATCAGAAAATAATGGATAACAGCCAGTGCCTTAGGGATGGTAGAACATCTATACTATTTTATTCAGCAGTTAAAGCACTTGCTACTTAATTTTTTCTAAATATTTACACTATTACACTTATTTTTACATATTCTAAATAACATTCCCCTCCGAAAAGCAGATCCTCCAGCTCTTGGCACTAATTCTCAAAGTCAAATGAACCTAAAAATACTGACAACCTTTTCAGGCTTTTATTGCTCTACCACAGGCATAAAAGCTCAGGAAGGGGCTTGTGCATTCTAAAGGAAAGTATGCAATACCTTAAGATTTCAAATACTAAGTAATTGATACTCACAAGCACATAACATCAACTAAAACTTTTTACTAGTTTTCCTTTTCTTTTACAAGAGAATAATTGTATTAATATTATACTACAAAAGCATGTAGATTCCATAATTTAAAAAAATTAAATGTCAGATATACAAGTAATGGCATTTTCTCCAATAATTCACAATTTTTACAATTTCTGCTATTTTGGAACAAATGTTAAAATTCCCACGATTTAAGTATCATTAGATATGAATTTAAACACTTAGCATCTCAAAGAATTATTAAGAATGGCAGAACTTACAATTAACTATAAATCTTACATTGGTAATATAGCTCCCCTTTTGTTAAGTAAACATTCTACTGTGGTGTTTTCAAGTGAATACTTCTGGTTTGAAAAATTATATTGTGAAGAGCCTGAGGTTATGCAATTTTGTTAAATTACATGATAACCTTGAAATGTAGGATGTATCCATATCCCAGCTTACTTTAGAGTATGTATCTCACTATTACTCTTATAAAAGGTGATTTTAAAGTCATATTAAGATGAGTGGAGTTTAATTCAGTTCTGCAAAAGCTTTTATGAAAATCTAAATATGGAAACTTTGTTTTGAGAACCATGAATCTTAAAATTCTGCTCTGCGGTATTTTATGTATGGGCCAATTAAAATTCTTGTTGAAAAATAAAAACAAAATGGTACTGATATTCTGAAATAAATGTTTTATATTGTCACTGTATTGACCAAAGCTTAATTAAAGACAGAAATTACAAGTTTATTTCATACCTAAAGGTTAGTTATTAGTGAGGTCTAAATTTTTTAAAGAAATGTTCACTAGCAGCCAGTTAGTAACTACATAAAATAATACTGTTATAAATTCTGCATTTAGTAGCTAACATGTGATGTCAGTACAATTCTCAAAAACCTGTCATTAGTAGTGAGTTGCTAGCAAGTGATCTTCCCTGAGGTAAGAGATCATATGCAAAAGTCTGCTAATTTCCAATAAAGTTAGATTCTTAAAAATAATGGCAATAAGGACCTGTGTGGCTGGGAACCATAGATGCATTTCAGACTGATATCTTAATTGCAAGCAGTAGACTCTTGATTGCAAAAAACCAAACTAAAACTCATCAGAAGATTTAAAGCAAATTTCACAGTCAACAGCACTTGCTAAACGTCTCAGGTCTTTAGCTTAACTTTTCCAATAAAATACCTGAAATACAGTGAAAGGAGGGGAAATGGGCCTTAGACTTGCTCTTTAGTTCCTGAGTAACCCATCCCTGGGTGTTCATCATATTCTAGCTCATAATATTTGACAGTGTCTTGTTTTCTTCAATTTCAACCAGTTTCTCACATCAGTATTCTAGAGATACATCATCTTCAACTCTACCTGGGCTGTGGGTCATCAATTCAATCTTCATATGACTAACTATAAAATGGATTACTGAAGAAAAAACTTCACAGTTACACTTCAACTTTCAGTTAAACACTGCAAATATAATTTAACTATAGGATTGAATTAGAGTTATTATGTTACATGGAGAGCTAAGAAAATATTTTAACTAATTTATGATCCCCAGAGTCTAAAGACTCAAAATTGTGGCAATCACAAACGGTAGTTCTAAAAATCATTCCTGTAATTTATGTATTTGATGATGGAAGGACAAATAATGATAGTCTAGAACTTCAAGAAATTCTAAGACTTTTTTGTGAAGATTATTCCTGGCCCACTTCTCAAATCCATTAATTCCTGCAACCATATCTTGGGTGATTTAAAATAATGTCAAGAAACCTGACCATTCTCAGCATCAAGCCTTTTATTCTTTATCAAGGGAGAACCCAAACTATTATTAAAATATTCACACCTAAACCAGCTTCTAAACAGCACTGTCGTAGCAAAAGAAATTAATACTGTTGTCAGAGATTGAGCCTGCCTTCTACTGTCCACAGGTGCACTCTAACTTGACTAAAGGGAGATTTAATAGGGAGATAAAATGTGTAGCTGATGTTTTTACTTTATGCTATAAAATGTATTTGTCAGCTATCAAACATACTGAGCCACAGGTGAAGAAAATATTTGTTAAAGAAAAGGTGATTATGTCGTTTACCTGGAAGCAATGTATTTGTGAAACAGTTTTCCTGTATTTAAACTAAAAAAAAAGGGGGGGGGTGTTCAGTGGCTGAAAAAGCCAAAAATAATTATAGTGGTTAGTGATATCTGTAATTTTTAAATTTAATACAGAGAAGTCACCTGCATTAACTAAACGGGAAATACTATTTGGTAGCCACAGTTCTTTACGTAAAACTAATACACAATATAAAAGTTCTAAAAGTTCCTTCTATTTATAGACATAGAGAAAGGTATTTGAAAGTAAATTTAGAAGAATGGAGTAAAATGTGATTTTAAACAGGTGATAATGTGATAAAACTAACCCAAATGTGTATTTTGCTCAGATATCACCTGCAAAATGTCTATAGAGTTTCCATTCTTTCCCTATTCAAAATGGAGTAGTTCGTTTAATAAGTGGATTCAGGCAGAGATACTTTCATAGAAAGAAACCAAAACCTCCCTTATTTGGAAACACAAGTACTGTCAATATTCCTTATGAGTCAATAGGCTGAGATTTTTAAACACCCAATAATTTACTTTCTGATGTACATTCTCTTAAAATGCAAACGGTCCTGCATCTATCACACGAGCAAACAGAGACAGCCAGGCTTTGAATGCTCTAGATAAGAGATTGTATTAACATACATTTTGTCTTTCATCCATTCAAATTCAACTTAATTTCAGTGAACAGAGGAAAAAGATGGATTAACGTGTACATTTCAGAATACAGATTTGCAGAATAGGATAAAATAGTGTGATGCCAATCTCAGGATAAACATTCTTTAAGGAGTAAACATGAAAGCTGCTTCTTGAGGAAACAGGCACTAAAGGTTTGATGAATACACTATTTAAGCAAATGCCCAGTTGATCAGGGTATGATGCAGTCAAATTTGCATCCAAATCCAAGTGAAGCTACAAATGAAGAAAATCTAATGGATTCTAAGAAAAAAAAAAAAAAGGAAACATTTTTGGTTCAGAGGGGCTCAAAGACATTTAGCATATACAAGCTTAAATACCATTGATCAAAATTGTAGAACAATGTAACCCATTCATAAAGATAAATTCTTATTTATAAATTCTCTGTGAATCTGACAAACTCTGAAATTAGAGATTAACTACTGCTACCATTATTTTTTTTATTATTTTTCTACCACACTTTGCAATCAACTTTTCTGCAAGATTAAAGAACAAAAATTTGGTGGTACTTGACCAGGCCAGGATTCAAAATAATGGTAACATATTATCAACACCAGAGCACACAATTGGCTGTGTTGGCTCAGACAGCAACATTACTGAATCACATTGACTTTATCATTCTAGAATAGATACTTTCCCCCAAGCTTGCTCAAATCAGCAAAATGTTATATATCATTACACTACATTCTCAAGATATTTTCACCAAGAATACATATCTCTATGAATGTGTTTACGTTCACAGAAATGTCAGGATCCCAGTGTCTAACATATCCTTTATGAATTTCAAGATACAATTTAGTTCAGATAACCTTCAAATTTACATAAATCCTTTGACACACTAATAAGTATGTGGAATGGTTATCCTGATGACATCAACATTAGCAAAATCTTATTTTCCCCCAGTTCTAGCCTTTTCAGAAATCAAACAGATATAGCAAGAGAATCTTCATGTTTGCAACATTAAGACTTTCATGGAATTAAAATTACAAACAACTTCCAATGAACCACATATATGGAAGTAACTCATATAAGCAGATCTAATAACTATTTTACAGGAATTCAGAGCCAGCCTGGGCAGCAGTATATTAAAAGCTATTGCCAATCACACACTTGCTATCATGCACTGAATAACAAGATATAATCTTTGAATTATATACGTACAAGATTTTTTAATGGCTAATCAAGTTATGTGGCCCAGCCAACAAATATTACATATTCACAATAAACATTCTGCCTTTATTAGCCTCTAATTAAATCAAGAGTGATCCATTGGCTCAGTTGTGTTTGTCATCTCAGCATCTTGACTATCCATCTCTTCGGGCTCCTCCACAGAACTTCCCTTTTGTGCTTCTGACCTTGCAGTGAATGCTGCTTCCAGTGCCTCTGCCACACAGCCGTCGGCTGTTTCTATATTCAAATTTTCAGTGTCACCAGTTAGAGGAAAAGATTCAGGTAAGCCAGTCTGAAGACTCCCAGACTTCACAGAAGAACTCACAGCTTCCACTTTCCTTTGAGGAGGATCAGATGGTGACTGCTCTGTACTTTGATCTCGCAAGTGCTTGTCCATCGATGCTTGAATAGAAGACACCATTTCCTGCAATTTTTTCCGCTGGGCCTCAACCATATCAGGATCAAGCTGCCTGCTGTCTCTCATTGTAGCTACTCCAGGAGCTATTCGAATAAGCTCACTGTTACTAGGAGCAGCTGTGAATACAGAAGGCTCTGTTTTAATGGAACTACTACTAAAGTCTGTCCCTGTCGTATGCTTCCTTACAACTGTAGTCTCCCTGGCTCTTGGGTCAAGGTGTGGGGTACTGGACGCAGTTCCTAGAGAATGCCCTTTCCCCTGAAAGGCCGTTACATTGTGAAGTTGCTCGGATTTCTTTTTCACTACTCCACCACTACCTAGTTTTAATAACCCATGTGAGGGGCTTGATTCCCTACTTCTTGTAGTAGCCTCTGCTCGAACCTGACTTACAGCCTCTTTAACTAAATCTTCAACATCAGGACCGATGGGAAAATGTCCTGCAGCATCCACACACAACTCCAGTCTATCTTCAGAAGCATTATAGACAAAGGTTTTGCCAGGCAGATGTGGGAAAGTACAATGCTTGCCATCAGCCATACCTTAAGAAAAGAAAAAGAATTTAACACATTAAAATCTTACTTTAAAGGTGGAGGAAAGACAATTATAATTGAAAGAGTAAACCTCCAATAATAATTTACAGGTAACAGCTTTCAAAACAAAATTAATTAGCAAATAATTTATTATGCTTATTAACAGAATTTAACACATTACAAAAAAAAAAAAAGAAATACCACCATAAACCTTAAAGTAGTTCCCCAGAGGGTTTGAAAAATATATATCATTAACTATTACAAAGTTAGGAAAGTTAGTCTTGAAACAAACAGCTGAGTTTAATTAAAAAAACACTAGCAATAGTGTTAGTAAGCCATTTGTTTATAGTAAAGCAATAAGAAAATGGACTTTCATTTAATAAAATTCAAATTATAAACTTTAAAAATTCCTATAAGGGCGAAGTGTTATATACACATGTTGCATAATACTGAATTAAAAATCATAGTAATTCTATTAAATTACAGAATACCAGAATAAAAAGTTTCCTCTGTGTGTATATATGTATTTTTCACAAATATAAAAAGTATGAACTTTCAAAATAAGATATTCCATAATTAAAGTAGTCGATGTGGGGGCACATTTAGGAAAGTTAACATTAAGGCTTAAGTATAATTGCAAATACTTAAGTATAACTGCAAGAATTGACATCTGGTCACAATAAATTAATAATATCTTCTTCAACTCCTTTGAAATAGCTGTATTCCATGTTACAACTCTTATTCTTCTCTGGCAGATGAGAACCACCCAAATAAGAGTGAGCTGTTGATGATATCCTTTCTCACAGTCAACTAATGCAGCAATAGAGGTTAAGAACTTTAAAGCAGGCTTCCCTTCATTTTCCAGCTGAAGAGTTTGGTCTCACTACGTGGTGTTTCAAATGTTTACACTTTATCCAGCCTGGGCATAAAAAAACTGTATGTGTGTTTTAAGCTATCCAATATCTTTTTACATGTTAAGTTTGTACACTGTAAGTATACTCCAAATATGCAAAAATTAGGGTTTTCAAATTTTATCAAACCATAGATTTTTCTATGTTTAAAAAAATGAAATAGAGAATTTATAATAATATATGGGTATGTTTATAGCAAAATATAAAGTCAAAGCAAACTAGTTTAAAATGAAGAAGACTGTTAGCAAGTACTATGGAAATTCAGAGAGGGGAAGGATGAGTGATATCTGGAATGCTTTGTGGGTATTAGGTGGTCTTACAAGTATTAAGAATAGTTTTTTCCTTTCTGAAAAAAGCTACAGAATGAGAGTAAGTTCAAATAAACATTCATTTTGGCAGTAAGTTAAAGATCCAACGAGAATTTCCTCTTAGCAGAACAACATTTTTGGCAGAGAGAACTGACAAAAATGGATGGACAAACTTTAAAATCAGAGATGTCTAAATCGTACCTTTCAGAGTAAAACCCTGAAATCAGTTTTACCTTCTACCAATCCCCTACCTCAGAGATCTGTAAACCATGGCCCAGGAAACAAAGATAGCAAAGAAGAAAGACTTTTGAATGGTAAGGCCAGGGATTCCCCAAGGCAAAGGTTTTACACAATTATTTCAACAGATAACAGCTACTGAGTCTCACTATGTGCCAGGAACTAAAGTAGACCCTGAAGATTAAAAAATAAGATAATTCTTAGGAGATGGATATAAATAGATAATTATAACACAATCAGGTAAGTATAATAATGACAGTACTTAATTCACTAATTACTTGAGGATTATATAACTCATACAAAGCACATGCCACAGTGCCTAATATACATCAGGCAGCCAATAGTTTTAATTTCTCTTAGATCAAAAGGTTTTGTAATTGCTTCCAGGTTTCTACTGTGAAGCTTTCCCTTGGCTATTCCTGGAGAGAATCATAGCCCCAACACATTTATCATAGTATTACTTAACAATGAAACAATGGAAACAATCTAAGCTTTCAACAAGAAGAGAGGGGTTAAGAGAACTGCGATCTATCTACCTAACAAAAGTAATATGCAGCTACTAATACTGATATAAATAAGCAACCTATGATGCCTCAGATGGACAGTAAAATATGCATGATGGTAAAATAGCAGGAAAGTACTGTAATTATAATCATGCCCAAAAATGTATGTATAAGAGGAATATTTAGCAATTTTAGGTCATGTTCCCCATTTCTATACTTTCTAGACCTCTTACACTGTTAAAAAACTTTAAAATACACATCAAAAAATCAATGCAAATACTGTGTTGTGATTAAACATAATCATTTAAGCTTTACATAACTTACACAGTCCTCCAAATTTTAAGAAATTAAATTTTAAGAAATTAAAATTTCTATATCTTATATCAACAATTCCATTGGACATATATACCAACAGACATGTATAATAATATTTATAGCTACATTCTTTCTTACATCAAAAAACTGGAGACTACCTAAAGTGAATCAGAACAATGGAAGAATTATATTAGAATGATAATAGAATACTGTGCAGCAGTGAAAATGAACAAACTAGTTGAGCCCATGAATTTGAATGAATCTGAAAAAAAGTACTGCATAAGAGAAAGTCACAGAGCATGTACACAGCATAATTTCATGTTTATAAAGTCCAAACAAAGCACTAAATACTGTTAAGGTTAGATATCTATAAAAGTATTAAAACTAAATTTGCCATTCATCTCTGCATTTATCTCTGTATAAACATTTGCAAGGAAACTTACTACAGTTTAAGCAAATTAATTTAAAAACACCTTTCCAAACATAAAGACTAGGAATATTAAAAGCTGATTTGTTATATTAGGCAATATGTCTGTTCAAACATAGATACAACCATCTATCTGTTAAGAGTGGATTTGAAAGTAAGAGAATTATGTTCTTTTCCAGTTTTTGGAGGGTAGGGGTGTATGTTTCGGGGGTGAAGAGGGCATCTTACACTTTATGAGTCTTTGCTCACAGGATGAGGATAATGATCTGCCAAATGAATCTGCCCTAAAAATACAGATAACATTTTACCACAAATATCAGATGAAATTACATTTGAAAGGTAAAATAATTTTCTGATGGTAGCCCATTTCAAATGGCTACGTGATGGTCAAAAAAGTTTTAAATAATTCTGCAAATTACAGCTGGGATTAGCTAAGTAATTATTAGGTACCAGGCCATTGGCTAACTGCTTTATGTGCACAACCTCATTTTATCCTAGTAACAATACCAAGATTATCACACCCACTGTACAAACAAAGACACTGAGGCTTAGAAATCACACTGGACTAAGCAGTAGAGCCAAAATTTGATGTTAGATGTTCTTACTCCAGAGCTCTAAACTACCTCCTAATAAAAATAAACACCAGAGGTAACATTTGAAAAACTAAGTGACTCTACTGACATCTAACCCACACACAATTCACCCATTTTTAAGTGTACAGTTGAATGTTTTTTAGTATATTCAGAGTTGTGTAACCATCACCACAATCACTTTTAGAGTATTTTCATCAACCCAGAAAGAAACCCTGAACACATTAGCAGTCCCTCCCATTTCCTTCCCCCATCCCATTCCTGGCTCCAGGCAACCACTGATGTAATCTCTAGGTGGGCCTATTCTGTCATTTATATGACTTTTTGTGTACATGAAATAATACAGTATATGGCCTTTTGTTTCTGGCTTGTTTCATGTAGCATATCTTTAAGGTTCATCCATGAAGACTGTACCAATACTTCATTCTTTCTATTGCCAAGTAATATTTCACTGTATGTATATGCCACATTTTACTCATCTAGTCATCAGCTGATAGACATTTGCATGCCTTCCACTTTTGACTATTATGAATAATGCTATTACAAACATTTGTGTACCAGTTTTGTGTGGACAGTGTCCATTTCTCTTGGGTTCACATGTGAAAGTGAATTGTTGGGTTGTACAGTAACTCCATCTTAAATCTTTTGAAGAAATTGCCAGACTTTTTCCCCAAGCAACTATAGCATTTTACATTTCCACCACAATTTCCTTGCCAATAGTTCTTATTATCTGTCTTTTTGACCACAGCCTTTCTAGTGAGTGTAAAGTACTAGCTCATTGTGGCTTTGATTTGCAATTCCCTATGGTTAATGATGCTGAGCATGAGTTCATGTGCTTATTGGCCATTTATATATTTTCTCTGAATAATGTCTATTCAGAGTCTTTGCCCATTTTTAATCAGGTTGTGTGTCTTTTTACTACTGCTCAGTTCTTTATATTTTAGATACAAATCTATTACCCGATAGACAATATTCAAAATCTTCTCTCACTGGATTATTTCACTTTCCTGTTGGTGTTCTTTGCGGCACAAAACTTTGCTTTTTATTTATGTATTTTTTTCTTTTGTTGCTTGTACTTTTGGTACAGTTAGGATTCTGCCTAATCCAAAAGCAAGATGTTTTATGCCTCTGTCTTCTTCTAAGAGCTTTCTAGTTTTAGCACTTATACTCAAGTTTTTTATACATTTTGAGTTAATTTTGTATTTGGTGTGAGGCAGAGGTCAAACTTCATTCCTTTACATGTGGATAGTCAGCTGTCTCAGCACCATTTATTGATAAAACTATTCTTTCCTCCATTAAATTGTCTCAGCATCACAACTAACATTTTTAAAATAATTTCAAACTGAAAACAGAAAACTATTTAGAAAACAATCAAGAGAATCATCCTCATACCACCCACCACAACCCTCCTACACACAAAAAACAACTGAGGGAAGTTATTTTCAGTTCTGTGAAAGACACTGCATATGGACCCCAATTACTGGGAGCCTTATGATCAATTACAATTAAATAATAACTTTAAAAAAACATGAACTGGTATCAATATATTTCGAAAGGTAGGAAGAAGAAAAAGGTAGAAAAAAAAGAAAAAAAAAGGTAGAAAGGTAGTGTGTGCACACTATGGAATATTACTCAGCCATTAGAAAGAATACATTTGAATCAGTTCTAATGAGATGGATGAAACTGGAGCCCATTATACAGAGCGAAGTAAGCCAGAAAGATAAAGACCAATACAGTATACTAACACATATATATGGAATTTAAAAAGATGGTAACAATAACTCTATATGCAGGACAGAAAAAGAGACACATATATACAGAACAGACTTTTAGACTCTGTGGGAGAAGGCGAGGGTGGGATGTTCTGAAAGAACAGCATTGAAACAAGTGTACTATCAAGGGTGAAACAGATCACCAGCCCAGGTTGGATGCATGAGACAAGTGCTCAGGGCTGGTGCACTGGGAAGACCCAAAGGGATGGGATGGAGAGGGAGGCGGGAGGGGGGATCGGGATGGGGAACACATGTAAATCCATGGCTGATTCATGTCAAAGTATGGCAAAAACTTCTAAGAGACTGTAACTAGCCTCCAACTAATAAAAATAAATTGGAAAAAAAAAAAAGAAAGAAAGAAGTGACAGGTGAAAAGTTAAAAAGAAAAAGATGCCCGAAAAAAAGGGAGGGGGCAGTGGGATGCTCAGAGAGAAATCTATAGCTTTAAATGCTTATAGTAGAAAAAAAAAATTTTTATAATCAATAATCTAAGCTTCTACCTAAATAAGCTTGGAAGTACAAACTAAATCCAAAGCAAGAATAAGGAAGGAAAAGGTATACATAACAGCAGAAATCAATGAAAATGAAATCAGGAAAATACAGAGAAAACCTATGAAACCAAAGCTGTTTCTTTGAAAAGATCAATAAACTGATAAATCATTAGCTGGACTGGTCAGCAAAACAGAAAAGGCATAAACTGCCAGTATCAGAAATGACAGAACTACAGGCCTTACAGACATTAAAAAGACAGGGAGTATTATAAACAACTTCATGCCAATAAGACTGCTAATTTAGATGAAATGGACAGATTTCTTAAAGGCAAAACTAACAAAGCTTACTCAAGAAAGGGATTGACCTTAAGAGCACTTTATTAAAGAAATTAAATTCACAGTTAAAAACGGTCCTATAAAGAAAACTCCAAGAACAGATGGCTTCACTGGTGAATTCTACCATTTAAGAAAAAAAATAATATCAAAGCTATAACACTTCCCAACTCTATTTTCTGAAGCTAACATTACCCTGATTAAACAGTCATTACAAGAAAACAAGAAAACGAGATGGTTAGATGGCATCACAGACTCAATGGACATGAGTTTGAGCAAGCTCCAGGAGTTGGTGATGAACAGGGAAGCCTGGCGTGCTGCAGTCCATGGGGCTGCAAAGAGCTGGACACAACTGAGCAACTGAACTGACAAGAAAACCACATATCAGTATGCCTCATGAATATGCTCAAAAAAACACTCAACAAAATACCAGCAGTTGGAATCCAGAATGTGATGGTTCAACATTCAAAAATAAATCAATGTAATTCACACTATCACCAAACTAAAGAGAAAAGCCTTAAAATATTATTTCAATAGATGCAGGGAAAGAACATCTGATAATATTCAACATCCATTCACAATACTAAGAAATCATCAATAAACTGATAAAGGGCATTTCTGAAAAACCTACATGTTTGAATGCTTTCCCCCTCAGACCAGGAACAAGGCAAGAATATCCACTCTCAACCCAAAATACAGTCATCAAGACTATGGTATTGGTGGAAGGAGAGATACCCAGATCAACAAAATAGATCCTAGAAATAGACTCACATGAATAAGGTCAACTGATGGCTTTAAAGGTAACTTTACTGATTATATGCTGTATATAATTCACCTTTTTCAAAAGTGTCTAATTCATGGTCAATTGATTTTTCAAGTGTCTAATGCATGGTCGATTGATTTTTGATACAAGTATCCAATAATTCAATGTATAAAGCATACCTTTTCCAACAAATGGTGGTGGAGCAACTACTGGATATGTACACACACACACACACACACAAAGTGAACCTCACCTCATACCTTACAACATATTAAAAAAATCAATTCAAAATGGATCATATATCTACATATAAAATTAAAACTATAAAACTCCTATAAGAAAATACAGAAGAAAATTTCTGTGACTTTGGGTTAGGCAAATATTCTTGGATAGGACACAAAAAGTATGAATCACAAAAGACTGTTAAATTGGTTATCAAAATTATAAACTTTTGATATTCAAAAGATAATGTTGAGAGAATGAAAAGACAGGTTATGAACTGGGAGAAAATATACCCAAAATACTTATCTGATAAATGATGTGTACCCAGAATATCTAAAGAACTCTCAAAACTCAATTTAAAAAAAATTCAAACCAATTTTAAAATGGGCCAAAAAATAACAACAAGATACACATAAGCACAGGCTTCCCTGGTAGCTCAGACGGTAAAGAATCCACCTGCGCTGTGGAAGACCTGCGTTCGGAAGATTCCCTGAAGGACGGCATGGCAACCTACTCCAGTATTCTTGCCTGGAGAATAATCCCCATGGGGTTGCAGAGTCGGACGTGATGGAGCAACTAAGCACAGCACTGTACAAGCAAGTACACAAAAAGATGCTCCGTATCATCACTTATTAGAGAAATGCAAATTAAAACCATTATGAGAGAATAATATAAATCTATTAGAACAGTTTTAAAAATAAACACCAATACTACCAAGTGCTGAAGGAATACAAAATGATCCAGTCACTTTGGAAAATGATCTGGAAGTTTCTTATAAAGACGAGCACATACTTATCACATGACTCAGCAATCCCACTCCTAGGTATTCAGTATTTACCAAAGAAAATTGAAAACATCTGTTCACACTAAGACCTGTACACAAATGTTTTCAGTGCCTTTCTTCCTAGAAGCCCAAAACTAAAAACAAACTAAATGTCCTTCAACTGGTCATAGCATTTTTAAAATGTGATATATACACACAATGGAATACTACTCAGCAATAAAAAAATAAACAAAAATGAATAACCTATTAATGCATGCAACCAGACAGATGAATCTCAAGCATTACATTAAAAACTGAAATTGACACACATTTTTTGTAAAGAGGCAAGATGATAAATATTTTAGGTTTTGTAGACCATATAGTCTTTGTCATAACTATTCAACTCTGCCAGTGCACTGTGAAAGCAGTCCTATGTAAGCATAAGGGTGGCTGTGTTTTGATAAAACTTTATATATAACAGGCAGTGAGCCTGAAATAGCCCACAGGCAGTAGTCTGCCAACCCCCATGTTCAATCAAAGAGCCAGACACAAAAAAAAAAAAGAAAAAAAAAAAGCCAGACACAAAAGATTAAACTATATGGCCCTATTTATATGGTGATATGAAAAAGGAAAACATACAGGGTTGGAAATCAAATCGGTGGTTGTCAGGGCCAAGGGATAGAGGTAAGGGATTAATTAGAAGGGCATAAGGCAAAAAAAAAAAAAAAAAAAGGCATAAGGCAACTTTTTGGAATGGTGGAAATACTCTATATCTTGAGTGCAGTAGTGGTTACCTGACTATATATGTTTGTCAAATTCACATGCCCATACACCTAAAAAGGATGAATTTTATTATATGCAAATTATGTTTCAATTATCTTGTCAAAGAAAGGAAGGGAGGGAGGGAGGAAAGAAGCAAGCCAACTGGCCATTTTCTGGTCCCTGACTCAATAAATCAAAAGAAAAACCACATTTTTTTGAAACAATCAAAAATCAAGGAAACCTAAATACTGCCTGGTGATATTTTTAAAATTATTGTTCATATCTTTGAGATGTGATAATTGTATTAAGGTTAAAAAAACAATTCTTACTTTTAGAAATACATACTGAACTCTTACAGATGAAATTATGTCTGAGATTCATTCTAAAACAGTACATTTGAGAGGGGATGGATAAAAATGTACTGATAATTACTGAACCTGGGTGGTAGGTAAGTAGTGGTTCATTACATTATTCTTGCTACTTTTATATGTGTGAACATTTCTAGAACAGCCAAATTGCGTTTTGTTTTTTTAACAAGGAAAAAAAAGTACATGAGAAAGAGAAAACTTAAAATAGAGATTATGCACTTGGTCTAAAGAGGTCAGGTAGGTAAAAAAGTGAGAAAGCCAGACTGATAAAAGTCAGAAGCCAAAAGCATTTATATTAAATCTTTGAAAAAACATATGGTGTCTAAACATACATACTAGCAATCTCTCTCTTAACACCTTAAAACTCTGAAGATAACAGTTACACACTTGCACATATCTTTATAAACAATACATACACAATGTGAAAAGAAGTTAAATGTAAAGTGAATTATTTCCTAGACTCCAGAAAATACTGCGTTATACAGTAATCACAGTCGAACACAACAACAATAAAACGCTGCATGATCTGATTCTGGGATGGACACTAGCACTATACACAAACTGGCCTCTAATTCCACAATGTAAATAAGAAAAAATGGAAAAGAAAGTGATAGATTTTTAGTAATATTACAGCAGAAAACATAGTTGACCACATCAGGACAATAATCCATTCTAACTAGGCAGACTGATGATGAAGAATATATACCCTAACATTGGAAATTGTTTTAGAAGAATATGATCTGAACTTTCTTAAAACCTTATAATAGCTTGAGTGGAGATATTATCCAAGAATAAAGTCATAAAGCAACTATACCCATGGTTTTCTTCATAATATTGTAGAATACGCCACCCTGCTGGAACATGTGAGGAAGACCTTTTGCATAAGACCATACATCTTCTCCTGTAAAATAAAAAGATACAGTTATTAGCAGAAAACCAGAGAGTTAACCCAGGCTTGCTTTAATATGGATGAGCCTCAAACAGAGACTGTAAGGTAGATATTCTAAATGAGCAATGCAGTCTAGTATAATATACCATCTAGGGAGCAATGTGCAATGAGGGACTATGGCCCCTCTAAATGCGACAGCCACTGCCAAGTGCTGTCACAGAGGAATATAGGTCCAATGGTTCAAGAACAAATGGCATTTTAAGAGAAGCCAGAAATCCAAATTTGTAATGTCAATTCTCCCAGTTTTTAAACACAGGAACTAATTCAAAAATGTCTTTAAAACTGCATGAGTCAATACTGGGCATATTAAACAAAATATCCATGAAGACTCAATCCAGTTCAAAGTAAACTAGTACACAACTATGGACTAGAGCAACAGAAAAGGTTATAGAAAGATATTTGTGTTTTTAATGTAGAATATAAAAAATATATTCTATATTTATGTTGAAACTAATAAAAACAGATGGAAAGGGCTAGAGAGTAAAGTAAATAGGTAGACTAAAGATAAGTAATTAATGTATTTTGTTGTTCCAAAGTTGACTTTTTAAAATAGAAATTTGGGGGGGGGATGGTGAGATTTGGAATAAATATCAGAAGCCCACAAAATAGCCACAAGCAAACCACCATTTCACAGAAACATATTCTTTAAGAACACCCTTTGAAGCGCCTATTATCAACAAGAAGTTTCAAATAAAAAGTTAAGAACGATAACTACTATCCAGGAAGTTAACAAAGAATGGAAGGAACATAAAAGTTATTTTGGTTTATGGAATATGGGCTTTTTGTGTATGTATGTGGTTTCATTATTTTCTAATCTGATAGAGTATATGTACTGCTTTTATACTCAAGACTTTTTAAAATTGATTTCTACTAGAAGACGATACTATTGGATCTGAGCTTTGAATGGAGGTTGTGATGATGTGAGTTAAGCATTCTATACCTACAATTTCTCAGAGCTCTAACCCCTTCCCATATTAATAAACAGGAATACGAATCTGCATGGCAGTTGGTAAAAGTATAAAGTGTACAACAAAGCCTAGAGTATGTAAGAAGTCTCAGCACTTAGCATTTCAGTTAATTAGAACATTTACTTACACATAAACACTTCATTCACTAATGATACAGTGCAACCAGAATATGGCAATATTTAAGGGTGAACACAGAAGTTTAATTTAAAATTTTGAATATTAATAAGAACCCCTAAATATAGAACATTAACAACTCTGGCAGAAGTTCTGACTGCTGGATTTATCATTGAACTTTACTTGGATTATTTCTCTGGTGGTAACCTTTCATTTAGTTATTATCAACGTTACCTTAAATGTACTTAGTATACTAAGTAGGATATCAATTGTCAAATATTCTAGAATATCAAAGCATATCAAAAAACTATATGGTAGCACTTATTTGGTCAGAGTCTAAACAGGTGCCAAAGCAATAAACTGCTCAGGACTGACCACCCAAATAGTGGTAAGAAAAATGATGTTCCTTAGTACTACTTTATAAACCCGATGATTCCTTACTTAAGCAGGCAGAACTCTAAAAAGAAAGAATTCTACTGAAGTGCTTATCAACCCTGTGTTTTCGTCACCTCCCTGAGGATTCTTTTTAGACGTTATTTTCCTAATCTGCCTTCCTCATGACATTTGAGTACTACAGACACACTGTTTATCTGGTTATGTATTATATGTATATCTTACACTTGTTTTATTAAATACAGTGATTTATTTTGCCCTCCCCCAAGAACCAAGTCTCACCGCCTTCAGACTCCATGGCCCCAGTAAGTATGCGTACTCTGTTGCTTTAAGGAAAGGATAGATACCATCTAAATGCCTCCTAGATGGCTCAAGTGGTAAAGAATCTCCCTGAAATGCAGGAGCCTCAGGAGCTGCTGGTTCAATCCATGCATCAGGAAGATCCCCTGGAGGAGGAAATGGCAACCTGCTCCAGTATTCTTGCCTGGAAAATTCCACTGACAGAGAAGCCTGGTGGCTATAGTCCATGGGGCACAAGAGTCAGACATGACTTAGCGACTAAACAACAACCACCACTCAGCTCTGAGCAGGCACCTCACATGGCTTCGTTTTCTCCTCACAACTGAACCCTATTTCACAGAAGAGACAAGCTCACAGAGTGTAAATCATTCTCCCCAAATCAAATAGCCATTAAGTGGCAAAGCCTGGATTTGAATCCTGGGTACATTCTACAGCTTAAACCCTTTCCACGGTTACTAAATCTCTACTAAAGGTCAAATTATGCTAGAACAAATTTGGCATAACCATCAACACACTTTCTTCTTATAGAAACCCACGGCATCAATGATTGATTGGAACAAAAAAGAAAGGCAAATTATTTCCTTTGGTGTTAATATATACACTTCCACTGAAGTCAAGTTTGTTGTAAAAGAACCAAGGAAAGGGATTAGAGATCAGAAAGCAGGAAATGTGACACAGCGTAAGTCTCCCATCAGTCACAGACAGTTCCCCATCCCTTCTAGAACTGCCCTGGTTTAGGCCTGTCTCCTGCCTGAAGGGCTGCCACTGCCTCATCCTTGGTTTTCACTCTAATCTTCTTCTCCCCAAGTCCCTCCTCCACACAGCCTCCAGAGTTAAACCGTTAATGGTTCCCCCATACAATAAGGCAAAAGGTCTATTCCCTTTTCATGGCATATAAGTCAGCCTAAGATTCTTGTCCTCGCTCTCACCTCACACCTCTCATTAAATCTTGATTTCTACAAAGCAAACCACCAAACTGCTCCATTTTCCCAAAGGCCAATAATAGCTATGCATTCTTTAAAACTCAACTTAGGTGTCACTTCCTCTAGGATTCTTCAGAGGTGGGTAGCGAAGTTCCTTCCTTTGCTGCTCCTATGTTATGAACACGACAGCCCTGATCACAAGGCAGGTTGACTCAGTTAACTTTTCTGTTTCCCATTCTATACCAGAAGCTCTGCAGAGTCAGGAAAAGGTCAGTGGCCCATTTGACTTTCTACTTCCAGGCCCTGGCACAATGCTGCAGAGACAGGAGCACTTAGAATTCATGTAATGAATAAATAGTACAAATGAAGCTTTTTCTTTTAATAATGCCTGAGAGGAGTCCATGAAAAAACTTAGCTGAAGCACTATAATGACAACTGTTCTATAATGCTATATGGATAAAATGTTAACTAATGGTACTATCTGTATACCTCTTCATGAATTTAATAAAATCATAGCAAAAACAAAGGTAAAGACTTTAGGGTACAAACTTGGGAGTTAAAAAATAAACAAATCACAGTAATGTAACATATATCATGGTGACCATAGTTAATAATACTGTATTTGAAAACTGCTAAAAGAGTACTCTTTTAAAAAAAGGAGAGGAGGTAGAATTACTTTCTACCATTTCACTGGAAAGCAAATTCTTAGAGAAGAGGACTAGTCTGGTAAAGTGAAGTGAAGTCACTCAGTCGTGTCCAACTCTGCGACCATGGACTGTAGCCCACCAGGCTCTTCCATCCATGGAATTTTCTAGGCAAGAGTACTGGAGTGGGTTGCCATTTCCTTCTCCAGGGGATCTTCCCGACCCAGGGGTCAGACCCAGGGATCAAAGCAGGGTCTCCCGCATTGCGGGCATAAGCTTTACCGAGTAAGCCACCAGGGAATCCCTAGTCTGGCAAAGCATCTACCAGATGTTAATTCATATTCTTCTGACAGCCCCCACTTAATTTTATTTTAATTCAGCTGCTTCTGCATATTACAACAGTAAAATACTTACATTGAACATACTGTGCACAACTGTACAAAAAAGTCTATAATACAACCATAGAAAACCTCTGTTCATACCCTGTCTTCCTCGAATCGTTCCTAATAGTCTTTAATTCTCCTACCCTACAGTAGTTATTACTATATGGCAGTGATAGTATGGATGATTTTCCCTTTCGTTGTCTAATTTTCTTCCTCTTTAAAAAGAAATAAAATTTTTAAACTATGTTAAAATAAATTATTTTTTAAATATGACTTTTTTCTAAAATCTAGAAAAAAATCAGTTAACCACTAATAAAATAATGAGACTAAAAGTGAGTTTAAAAGGTCATCATTCCAATTTTCTAACTTTAGATATTTATTTATTTATTTTTTAACTTTAGATATTTAAAAAGGCAATCTGAAGTTTCTACGTGGCAATTTATAAAGCAAGTAAGATTTTAAAATCTAACATATATGTGAAATATAGTTATTAAAAAAAAGAAAAAATTCATTTTGAAATATTAGAGTCCCCCCCAAATATCTAAGTTAATTCTGAACTCAAATACCTATCACCATAAAATAAACTGACCAAAATGTACATTTAAACTAGGAACATGGGGCTGTTTCTACTAGAAAAAAGTCTAAAGGTGTTCATTAGCTGAAAAAAATTGTTGCCATCTCTCTACCCTTCCTGCAGATTCTGCCATCTAAAATTTTATCTACCTTGAAAGAAAAGTGAAAGTGAAGTCGCTCAGTCCTGTCCTACTCTTTGTGACCCCATGGACTACAGCCCACCAGGCTCCTCTGTCCATGGGATTTTCCAGGCAAGAATAATGGAGGGGGTTACCATTTCCTTCTCCAGGGGATATTCTCGACCCAGGGATTGAACCTGAGTCTCTCGCATTGTAAGCAGACACTTTACCAGCTGAGCCAGCATCCACCTTACTGTCAAAACCATTTCTAAGAAAGGCATGCTTGTTCCTTTCCTTGTACTCAGTCCCTTACACGTCTCTCAGAGTAATCATGAGCATTAAAAGATGTATTTATCATACACATACATGCACACAAACCTAACTGTGTGGAAATGTGTACACAAACATACAGAGTCTGATTCTCTCTGGGGAGCACAAGTGTTTAAGAGAACTATTGTATTCTACTCCCTATATATTTGAGTTCTTTGAATTTTTAAAAGTAATATTATAATTGAAAAAATATGAAGAAAAAAAGAAATAGAATCATGCTTTAACTTAATCTTCAAAGTATATTATAAAATCACTGTTTATAATATATTTACCTTAAAATACATCTATATGCATTCCTTTTATTCAATTTTATAACTGGTCCCCATGAAATATGCTGTTTATAAATCAATTAGAAAAGTTATGACAGTATGTTAAGAATAACAGATGCATTAAGCACTATCTAGATTTGAAAGTCTCCTTCACCCAATATTTGAAGAAAAAATTCAAGAAGCAATAATGATATTCAGACTCCAAGTCATCTTAAAAATAAGTGTCTGAATACCATGTGTGATTCTGAAAATACCCAAGACAGCTACAACATCAAAAAGTACTACGAAATTATGAAAAACTGTGTAAAAAAAAAAAAAAACTGTGTAATTTAAACTTGTATATTAAAAACTCATGCCATTCTTTCAGGAAGATAGAAAGTAAAGTTTCTCAACTCCTGAAAGGATGCTAACCTTTGCAGTCAAGTGGAGTCACTATCACAAGTAGCTTGATTCCACCAAAGCAACTCTGATAACATAAGTATAAAACTCTCATAAAACTGACCAACTGTTTTTCACAAATCTGTCTTTATCTCCTGAAAAAGAAAATTAATGAAAAGTTTCGTGGAATACAATATTAAGAAAAAAGAAATTAGCCTAGTATTTACAGTGGATGATGTACTATCATATCTATCAAAAAAGCTGGCCTATAAGAAAATTTAATTACATATTTTGCAAAACCAGAGTTAGAGTCACTCACATATTGTATAAATAATGAAGAGAACAGTGTAAACATTGTTTAATAACGTCCAAGTGGTCTGGATAAAGCAGATTAAAATCTGTGAATATTACAGGTAAGAACACTGTTATTTCATTTTTAACTAACATCATTAGATTCAAAGTGACCCGTTCCATGAACTGAGCAAAAGATTAAATGCACTCACTGTCTTGATACAAATAATAGATATAAATTCCATATAAATTCTCCAGCTTCCTTCTTCTCTATACATAAAAATTATAAATAAAAGCAATAAAAGTATGGGACGTCCTCAGTTGAGACCCAGCAAGTAAATTTTTTTTCTTTTTTTTTTTCCAGCAAGTAAATTTATGGAAGGCAAGGATCATGCGTGATTTATCTTTGTATCTACAGCACAGTCTTTAGCTCATAGCAGACATTTTACTGAAAGAATCTGCATTTATTCATTCAACAAGCATGTACTTAACACCTAGTAAGTGCCAAGGCCAGTACTAGGTGATAGGGTAGTAAGTACACCAACATATAAAATCAGGAAAACTTGTAACAGGTGCTATCAGGGAAATGAACAGGGTGCCATAACAGAGGGAACATACTTGGAGTAGTTTAGCAAAGGTCTCTGAAACCCTTACCCCTGGGTAAGGTGGTCAGGAGAAAACCTCTTTAAGAAAGTGGTATCAAAGCCTTAACCTAAATGAGAAGGAGCCAGCTATTCAAACAGCAGAAAGCTTGATGAGCTATTTGCTAAACTAACACACCAGCAGCTCAGCTCACGTTTGGTAATTCATAATTTCTGCACTTTGAAATTTACAATTTTCTTATTAAACCCTGTCATTTCCCATTTTCCAGCCCTCTCCAATCTAAACATCAAGAGTTCCCAGTACTCATTCACATAAGGTTGTGTGTACTTACTTAGCTATCCCCATATTGAGATTTTTTACAAACATAGGACTTTTAAGAAAATCTTCCCAGGAATTCCCAGGCAGTAATGTGGTTAGGACTCCGTGCTTCCACTGCCGAGGGCGTAAGTTCATTCCCTGGTTGGGGAACTAAGATTCCACAAGCCCCACAGCATGGCCCAAAAAAGAGAGTATCTTCTACATAATTCACATACAGTTATGAGAGAATCAGAATGCTTACAGAGGGGCTAATATACAGGTCAGGCACTGTCTTTGTACTTTAAAGCAGAAAGTCAAGTAACACCACCATAAAATTAGCAAAGCACTCTGCTTAAATTCTGTGTCAGGAGAAGTAGGAGATTTAAAGAAATGTGTGGGTTTTTAAGGGCAGCAACATAAATGCCAGAGGTGGAAAGAGAAGAGATCATTAACAAGAAGACATCATCTTAGTCAATTCCTTACAGTCCACAGTCCAGTACTCAGACATTAAGGTCCAGAAACCTCAATTCAAACTCAAAAAGTGACTAATGGTAAACAAGAATCATATTTTACTAATTTTCATTATGAAATAGTAATATATTATTATGCTGGCCAGAATTTTAGACTACTGATCATAATCTCACCAGTGCCACTGCATTTTTAATCTCCATGGAGAACACAACCTCCAAATGAATATAATCCTCATCTCACTGTTACCTCTACATCAATACTTACATCAGGAAGCTAAATGAGTGATTAGGCTAGAAGCTTGATGACTATGGAGTCGGGAAAGGGATACAGATTTTTCAGCCAGGCCACAGTGAGGACTGATCAAATAGTCCTGCCCCTCAACAGAGATTACCTTTCAGTTACCAGAATTTTCATGAGCCCCAGTTGTCACATCTTTCTCCTTTGTACAGCACTGTATAAACAGTGCCAAATTCTGCTTTTCAACTGTTTTTCAATGTTCAATGCTGACCATCCATTCCATTTCTGCTGACACAGCCTTTCTTTAGCTATGTTAATGTCATCTATTTAATTCAATCAAAAAACCTTCCAAAGTGCCTACTACCTGCCGGGCACTATACAAGGTGCTGGGCATCCAAGGCCACATCCTCTTCTATTGAGAAAGACCACTTTTCCTGACCAATCTCTGACCTGGAGATTACTGGTTTTTTAAAACGTGCCTTCAGCATACATCTAAGTTTACCCATTCTGTGCTGGTATTATTTCACTTACAGAGTTCTGGGAGTACATTATTGTTACCTAAGTATCAACTACAAGGGGTAATCCTGTGTATAGGAGGCAACTGAAGACCTGAGCAGTTAAGCAGCTTGCCTGAAACCACTGAGTTAACAAGTACTGAAGCCAGAATTAAAATTGCAGGACTTTCTGACTTCAGAAATCACAATCTTTTCCTTTACTGGACACAGTCTCCAAGAAACTAAAAACTCTTAAAAGAGAAAAATGTAAAGTACAGAAAAATGTAAAAGTAAGTACATTTCTTGACATATCCTCCAATTCAATAATTATGTCTGACAAAATAAAGTCAGCAATATTAAGTTATAAATTTGCATAGATAGATCACCTATTAATAGATCCCCTATTAACTAGGCCCCCAAACTTAAGCCAGAAATAAATTATCTTCATTTTGGAAGGTCAAGGCCCAATTCACTGATATTTAGTACTCAGAAAACACAATCAAAACCCAGATCACTTTTTTACTTGAAAGATCTCATCTCAGCAAAAATAAGGCCCCTCTAATATGTAATATATTTCAGTTTTACTTCTATTTTAAGCCTCAATAAAGCATACTAACAGTAATTTAAAAGCAAAGATTAGCCAATAAAAATAATGTAAAAAGCACACCATTGGATCATTTCCCATCATTTAAAGCTTTAAATCACCTATTTGGTTGACAATATATTTTCCTTTGTGTTGAATTATTAAAAAGAAATGCTTCTTAAGCAATCCCATTAACATCTACCTCTGTTTATTATGTTTTTCATGAGTTATAATAGTTCATTATAACTGATGGCAAAGAGTCACTGAGAAAATTACTTAAAACACAAATCCCGATTTACGAACAAGAAAAAGTTAATGAACTGGGAAAGGGAGAACAGGAAATGGATGAGAGATTATTAGGTGGGAGTGCAGTGAGGTAACCCAGAAACTGCAATTCATCAAACAGGAAGTCCTGAAATCACATGACACGCAGGAAAATGAAATTTAAAAATAAATGACAAGGGTCAAGGTGTGCATGCTCAGTAGAGCCAAAGGGGTAAAAAATGAAAAAGGTTGTAAATGGATCCATTACAATATGATTTTTAAAAAATGACAAGCAATACATTATACTTAAATAATCTGGTGACAGTAAGGGACTACTTTCACTTTCTTAGTTATGTTTTCCCAGTATTTACGCAATAATCACACTCACGTCTATCCACTAACTGTCAAAAAGCGAAAGAAAAGAATTTTCTTTTAAAATATATAATCAGTTTTTACGTTGACCAGATTTTTTTCCACAAAGACATGAGAAAAACTCAGTATATTACACTCACAGTTACAAAACACCATCTGAGTTAAGCTGATCTTACCCATTAACGTTGCTAAAAGACACAAGGAGTACATTTCTTTGTCAGCTTGCTCCTGAAGCTCCTTAGATGACAGTCTGCCGGTGACAGCACTGTCTTCTGGTTTCACAGTGTGGGCCGAGTGGGCAGCAGCAGACTGACCCCCTTCGGCTTTACTTTTCAGGATCTCGATTGTGATTCTGTCACCATGCTGTAAAGGAACTGGCTCCTTTTCCATTCCTGCCTGGGGTGGCATTAACTCTTTAGGAGGAAAGCCGTATCGAATACACTGTAAATATGGCGGAATGTTGAATTCTCTGGCTATGCTTTCTTGAAGTTCAAAAAAGGTTGTTGAAGACTTAAGTGTAACCATGGACTGCCGTCCGTCATTAGTTGTGATTCGGATCTTTTTCTCCTTAGAAGTGGTTGGCGAATAGGGAGCCTTGGTAGGGGTGGCAGGTGCAGAGGATGGGCCGTCACGAACAGTACTGGGAGAAACAGTCCTGGGCTGCCCCTTCTGTTCTTGTTTTAACTTCTCTGTTTTCCGTTTCTGCATTACAGAAGCCTGTTCCGTAATATTCTGTTGAATAGTTCTTTCAGTTTTACTCATGTTTAACTCCTCCTTGTGCAAAGTTTTCGCTTTCTGTCCAGTAAGAATAATTTTAGTTGGGAGTGGGGACTCCGACTCTTGTCCTTGTACATCTCCAAATCTTTGGGCATGAGCACCATCTATATTTACAGGAGTATAATCATCAGGATTCTTTTTGGCAGTCTGATGTAATATAGTGTGGACAACTTTCTGAACTAAGATTTCACTCCCAAATTCACCTGGAAAGTGCTTGGTAACAAGTTTCATCGCAACATCATACACATTGCTATTCAAAGATGCATCGCTTTCATACTGGAACCAATACACTGTTTCTCTGACCACTCTTCCACCCCATTCCAAAGTAATAGGAAAAGCTTCTGGTAGATTGTCATACTCTTTCCCATCCCAAAAATGTTTGAAGCCACAACCACATTTGCCACCAGTGGACCTGGAATTAGTTCTGTCCCCATCCAAATACACAATAGACCCATCTCCTCGGACTCTTCGCACAGATGTGCCATGGCACCAATTACAAGCTGTCAGGTTACTCAAGCCATAGTCTGGTATCAGGACATCTTTCACTGAATCATATGAGCAAACCAAATTGTTCAAGGGAAAGCTATAATTTTTGTCAGGCCTCAGCTGTCCATGAGTACTTTTTGCCAAGTTATACAGTTTCCCTCCCGGAGCCAACCACTCTGGAGGAACATGAAGTTCAGAAAGGGCACCACAGAGCAAACATTTGTGAAGGCGATTATCCATTACTGCTTTTTTAGCAGCTGCTGTGACTTCTTCAGGCTGAACTCCTATCACACCGGTCCTCCTGTAGAAATACTGATGGACATCAGCCACCAAACTAGGATGGATACCGTGCTTGTCCATAAAGACTTCTTCCATAGCAGCAACAAGCCTAAGTAAGTATTTATCCTGCAAACTTCTGTCTCCTCCAATAACACAACCACCATCCTCCTCAAGTTTGATGTACTTCTTAATGAGGTCCTGAGGCACACCCCATGCTTTAGGAAGCAAATTCATAGGCAGTTTGGGCAAAGCAGCCCCTTTTATGCCTACCAAGGGGATATAATGGTTTCTACCAGAGCTACTCCAAGCGATACAGATTGGCTTGTTCAAATGACCATCTCTGCCGGTGCACTTCTCTGCAGGGATGAGCCCTGGCAGAAAGGTGGCTGAATAATCACCAGAGCTTCTCATGCCACTGAGCGAATCTAACAAAATAATAGGGCGATGAAGCACATTGGCGAGGCCAAATATGTGGATGTTCCGCAGGCCCAAGGGAACCCCCTCAGGCGGTACAAACAGAGGGTCACACTCGTTGATAATGTCCTCCCACTCAGCGGCATCAATGAAGTCATGGAACAGCGCTTGATACCGGGCCAGGTGCTGCTGGAAGTGCTGTTTAAGATTCTCTCTCAAGGCATGCCAGAAGAGCTCCCGGCCCACTAGGGCCCGGGACACAGCATGCACCAGGCAGTGCCCGTCCCCGTCCACATGCACGGGAATGAGGCATTCCTGACTTTTATTGGCCCGCTTTATGTCCTCGAGGGTGTCATGCAAATACAGGAGGCTTCCGGAGCGGTCCTTGCCGTAGCCCACCGTGTTGACATGCTCCGGTTCGATGAGGAAGGCGCGGTCACCCAGCAAAGCGCAATCGAACAGCTCGCCCTGGTTCATGTCCCGAAGCAGCTTAGCCCGGCCAGTCTGTTTGTCCATTCCGTAGCGCGCTAATATGGGCGACAGTAGTTTGCAGTGGTAGTTTGAAAGGCCCATCACCTTTACCAGTTCCGTGTTCTTCTTGGGTGCCCCTGTCACCCCGAGCAGCGCGTTCCGCAGCAGGTTGTGAAGCACTACGTCCGGGTCAGTCACCTCCTCCACCCCCAGCAGCTGTTGCTGCTCGTGCCGCTGTCCGCACTCGGTACACTCGATGCTGACGGAACCGGAGGCCGGGAAGAACAGACGCGCCTGGCACTTCGGATCCGGGCAGCTCCCGGAAAGGATTCTCCGGTCTCTCCGCTTCGAGAGCCCCCCCGGAGTCGCCGCCGCCGCCGCCGCCAGGGACGGCGGACTCTGCGGAGCCTCTGGGGGAGGCGGCGGAGGCGGCAGCGGAGGCGGCGGGGGCGGCTGAGACATAGCTCTCGGCTCTCGAGTCTCGCTCCGCGTCCCAAGAGACCCTCAAAGGCTCATAGCCCAGACCCCCGCCGGCCCGACTCGGTCTCGTCCAGGCCCAGGGCGAATCACTTTCCTTTCCCTACCAGCTCCTCCTCCTCCTAAGCGAAGGCGGAAGCGCCGGACGTTGTTTCTCTTCTTACTTCTCCACTGCCGTAGCCGTTGCCCCGAACGTAACGGCCACCACCCTACCCCGCACTCACACTCACTCACTCTCGCTCTCTCTCCCTCAGACACACAGACATACACGCCCTCCCTGAGACTGCGCAGGCGCAGCTTTCGCTCTGCCCTCTGGGAATTAGAGTCTTTCAGCCTCTCTCCTGGCCATCAAATACTAGGAGCTTGGGTCTATAAAGAACTACAAGTACCGTGAGGCAAAGCGGTTCGGTGCCCGCAGAGAGGAGGAAGAGGAAAGCAATAGGCATGGAGGCAGACAGGAAGAGACTCACTCACGTTGCCTTCCGGGAGTTGTAGTTCTAGCTCAATCTCTTTTGTCGTCGTCCCCATCCTAAGGCCCAAGCAAAATGAGTATGAGAGACCACATTTCCTAGGATGCCCTGCGGTGCGACCAAGCTCACTTCCCCCTCAGGCGGAGGGAAGGATGCAGGGAAGCTTGGTTAAAAACAGAGTTAAAGGGAATGGGTGTCGGAAGCACAGGGTCTGAAGTTCACGACTCCTAGAAGGGGAGGGGAATGAAAGGCTCCCAGTAAAGAAGGTACAGTAAATAAATGTCCAGCGACATGGCGGGCTGGGAAGTTGAGTGAAATGGTCTAAACAAGGCTGGAGGTCATAAGAGAAAGGGGGAGAATAGTGAATTGATTCTCGGAGTGTTACTTAATTTTTTTTCTGTCACACTCCTTTCTTCTCATTCCCGCCTCTATTACAAGCCGCTGAAGCTCTTGAGTCCCCCTTTCTGCCTTCCCTCCCCACCATTGGGAATCACAGGCGCCATTTGTTTCCTCGTTCCATGTACGTCTTTGCAGTTTACAGTGCAAATAAAAATACCTTTGATGTGTACAGAATTTAAGTACATATCCAAAGTCTTTTAAGTACTTTCGTTTGCTCCTTACCCTCAGAGAGTAATAACAGCTATCATTTATTACGTTCTTGGCATATGTTTGTCGTAGCATTTACATACACGATAACATTTGATTTTCATAATGTTATAATAACCTTGCTAGGAAACACTTCCGAAAGGGAAATGACTTCTTCAAGTTCAGGAGCTCTCAAACCTTGGTCTGTACCCATTTTACAGACAAGGGACATAGGCAGGAAAGGTTAGACTAGTCTTGTACAAAACGGTAACTAACTTTTAGTCACTATGGCTTTATGGTTTACATAACATGATCACACAGATCATCCCACCCACACTCCTGTAACACCTCTACCAGGTATTGTTGACTCCATTTTCAGAAACAGACTAGAAGGAATTAAGTTACTTGTCCAAAGTCCATTCACCAGGATCTCTCAGACCCAGAGAGTGCTTTTTATACCACTTCTTATAAGAGAAAAAAGAAAGTTTTAAGCCCAGACCTTTTGTTAGGCCTCAGGAGCTCCTCTTACTGACTCAAGGGGCTGTAAGGATGTTTACTGTGTGCTAGGAAACTGTCTCCTCATGCAAAACACTTTCATATATTAATTGAAAGCTAGTATTTTTTTGAATACTGTACAGTCAGCCCCTTTCCCTTATCATTCTGGAAACTCTTGCTTTCTGAAACCTTAGATAAGTGTACCACCTCAAAACTTCTGAAACATTTGGCACAAAATAGATACATCAGTATAGTCCATGACCCCATTGGAGTTTTCTGTAGCTGCCAAGGCTATTTTCACCTCATTAGGTTTTTCTGAATAAATAAAACTTGATGCTTTGAAATGAATTGTCTATAAACTAGACATTCCTAAAAAGTATTAGTACCGACTTTCACTAATTATTATATACAATTTTCTTCTAAAGAAATGCGTTTTAGAAATCCTTTAAATGTTAATTATTTTCTTGCTCAATTCTACCTGGCCTGTGCAAAAATAATGGTATCTTTGTATAAGAGAGATAGTTACTTAACTTGAAGGGAATAATCTTCAATAAAGTTTTTCTTAAAGAATTGATTCATGCAGGAAACTGTGTTTGTTTCTATTTTAACAGTAGTTTGGTGGTACACTACACAAAAGGTCTTGGAACTGATTTTTAGTTCTAAGTTGAGAAATTAGATATGCCTTTTAAATGGAAATTACTTTCTACCATGACAGAGAAGTTATACCTGTGATGAAATTATATTTTTCTTATGACCAAAGCTGAAGCTCCAATACTTTGGCCACCTGATGCAAAGAGCCAGCTCATTAGAAAAGACCCAGATGCCGGGAAAGATTGAGGGCAAGAGGAAAAGGGGACAACAGAGTATGAGATGGTTGGATATCATCACTGACTCAATGGACGTAAGTTTGAGCAAACTTCAGGAGATAGTGGAGGACTGGGAAGCCTGGCCTGCTGCAGTTCATGAGGTCACAAGGAGTCAGACATGGTTTAGCAACTAAACAGCAACAACGTGATGAAAGCTTAGGTGAACAAGAAAGATAATGCCAGTGTGCAGTTCTAACATTGTCATGTACTTTAATGTCAACATCACCAAGTCACATTTTCCTTGTTGAAGATAGATATGAACAGTGAAATGAAATTTTTAAAAATTACATCTGAATATTTCATTCTAAATTGTACCTTCACAAAATCACTACTTCTTCCATACTGAAGACTGGCTTGTCAACCATAATCCATTTGACTGGTCCAGTGTTTCTTTATCCATATGGAACCTAGATTAGTCAGAAACAAACTTCCAAAGCTAAATTTGATATCTAAACCCACTTGTTACCATAGTTGTCCTACTTTTAAGGGTTATAATTTTGAAATAAAAAAATAGAAATACCCTGGATTAAAGCATAGTTAATGGGAGGGAGAGGAGGTAAATTTTCAAGCAATTCTAAAATGAGATCATTTAACCTGAAAGTCATTTATTTAATGAATCTATAGATGCAAAGTTCAGAAGGTAAGAAAGCTAACATAAATAATATATTAAAATTATTATATGTTGTGTATTAAATGATATTAACCAGGCCAAATCCAATATGTGAATTCTTTACAGGCACTTAGGCATGGATACCTATAAAGTAAGAAGAGTGTTAGGACAAAACATAAAATCATAGGAGTGCAGAAAGCCTCTAACCTTCTTATAGGCAGGCAATACACATGTGTCCTCCCATTTCCCCTAATGCCATGATAGTTGCCTAATAACCTGCTTTGTGGGATCCATAATAGTTCTTATTCTTGCCTCAGTATTCCAGATGGGAAAAATGAGCTGGGCGCCTAATGTTAGCTGTTCTAATACCCACTTCTTCTACCAACATCATCCCAGCATAACTTATATCTGAATTGTCAAAATTAAAACTGAAACCCTCTTCCTTTTTTCTTTTCATAATTTCTAGTATGGCACTTCTAAACTTCCTTTATTGCTTTTAACAAACCTGGTAAATGTAAGGAGCAAGAGGCCTCCGCTTGACAACGGAACAATCATCATTGTTCTTTTTTACGTGGGAAAAAGAAGGGAAGCAAAACTTTGGGGATTATTAGAAGTGGTCCTCATGTTTTTGCCTCTGAAAGGTACATCTCTACTGAGAATTGACTATGTCACTTCAGATACCTACTCTGGACATTCACAAGCTTTCACTGACATTTGGGGTGGATGTGAGAGGGACTTAATTAGTGAAGTAGGTATTATAGGAACTTAAAAGGAGAAGATTGCAGAAGTTAATCCCTGTCCCAAAGAAACATCCCAAAGGAACTCAAAGTCTAATAGAATGAATGTTATTGTTTAATTGCTAAGTCGTGTCTAACTCTGTTATCCCATGGACTGTAGCCCACCAGGCTCCTCGGTCCATGGGACCTCCCACACAAGAATATTGGAGTGGGTTGCCATTTCCTTCTGCAGAGGATCTTCCAGGTGCCAGGATCAAACCATCTCCTGCACTGGCAGGTGAATTCTTTACTGCTGAGCCATGGGCTTCCCCAATAGAATGAATTGTTCAGCCACTAAATTATGTCTGACTCTTTGTGACCGCTTGAACTGCAGCATGCCAGGCTTCCCTGCCCTTCACCATCTCCCAGAGTTTGCTCAAACTCGTCCATTGAGAATAAGCAGGCTAAACTATATTGTTCATAAATACAAGCAGAATAAAGAATATAATCGAAACTAATAGGATAACTGATTTACTTTGCTGTACAGCAAATTGGCACAATATTGCAAATCAATTATATTTCAAAAAATAAATCACAAGCGCTATGAAAAATTTACTGAGGACTTATTATAGGGCAGGTGTTTTAAGTATATTATCTTAATCTTTAAAACAGTCCTGTGAAGTAAGTAAGGTTGTCCTTATTATACAGATGAGAAGATTTAAAGCTGAGAAGTTACCATTATTTTCGTTATTACCACCCAGCTAGCAAGTAGCAGAGCTGGGCTTCAAATCAAGGTTTTCTTTCTTGTTCAGCACTCAGTCTTTCCACTGCATCATAGCTGCTTAGTGATTTGAGAGAGAATTCGCCAAGACGTGAGAGTGCAGATGGTGGCCAGGAGCCAAACTTGGCTTAAATGTGTTTTTGTTCGGCCAGAGGCAGTTTAACTTTGCAAAAAATGTGGACATGTTTGGGCAGTGGCCAGCAATTCACTCTTTAAGGTCATGCACCAGGACCTCTTGAGACAAATTACCTGCATGGCTCCAGGAAGCATTTGCATTTTCTATTACTGGGCAGTCACTGAGGATCTGGAGAAGCAGTAGCTCTCAAGAGGCTCACAAAGAAGGTATGTCCAAGGGTAGACATTGTACACAAGAGCTGAGGAGTGTTTGAGGACGAGTGATTGGCAGTACTTATCACTATGTGAACATGTGAGAGGTCAAGTATAGGGCCACACGTTATGCCTTAGCACAGTCATTCTCAAACTTCTAGCGAGCTTCAGAATTGAATATAAAGCTAACATATGAATTGCTGGGCTCTACTCCAGAATGAATACATCTGGGCTGGAGCTTGAGAATTTACATTTCTAGCAAGTTCTCTGGTACTGCTGATGCTACTCATCCGGAGATCACACTGGGAAAATCACTGCTTAGCTGACTGCAGGGCACTTTGAGGGAAGGTTTCAAAGCCAAGATTTTGTGTCTTGGTTTCTATTGTTTTAAGTCCAAAAAGAATCACTTGACATGGAATGTCTAGAAAATAAGTAAAAAAAA